GGTCCTTCCCCGGTCGAGCCGATCCACTCGTGCCAGAACTAAATATATTGAACAAATAAACTCCAAAATATTGATCTAATTCGTTCAAAAACTCTAGGTTTTATGATGTGATACACGCATGCTATATTAGACTATGTATACCATAGACTTATAGGATATACTGGTGTAGATATATACTATGATATTAGAATATAGATCATTTTATAGTGACATATAAAACTTAAATGTCTGAAATCTTTAAAAATACATTGTAGAGTCATTTCTAAAACATATACGAGTAAATATATAATTAAAATATTTTCTTAAAAGTTCCTCAGAATTTTTTGCCGGCTCTTCCCGCCATTAGTGGTAGTTATTTAAGCTGTTTAGTATATAATATCAAAATTATTCTAATCAGCTACTTTTAAGAAGAAGTGACCTTGAATTTTATGGGCAGGTGGCTGATGTAACGTACCACATTTACTCCTATGTTTGCGTTTCGTGGGCGTGAAAATTCATTAACGCTGTCTGTCTTATTCGTAAAACACATACAAATTTTGATTCTTGTTTTTTTATATAGATTATTCATAAAATACGCATTTTTTTTAAATTTTGTTTTTGTTTATTAGCGCAAAACAACGTCCAGCCATGCTACAGCTTCAATAATTCCATAGGAGTGTGATGAGAAACGGATTGGTTTCCGCTATCACCTGCAATTTCATGATCTTTCCCGTAGTACAATCAACAGTCCGATACTCCGAAATCGAATAGCTCAGTACATGCTTGATAATAACCCCTGAAAATGTGGTGATCGCTACCATACTGTTTCTGAATGTTTTCTTACTTAATTGTATAAAATAATATATTGTTATTTGTATATTAGGTGTATTGCAATTTAATGTTTGAAAAAAAAATCCCGCTGAAAAACATTTTTATCTTGTTATGATGATGACATACATACTATATTAGATATCAAACGAGGATGATTTTTTATCCGTCTATTCCATCGTGTAGGGTATCGTCGGATAGGTCGTTTAAAAATATTGATATTGGGGGTATGAAATAACATTATTTCGATTCAGGGGTCCGTTTGGGAAATATTTAGCATTAAAGTGATAATTTTATTAGAGTTATGTATCCCCCCCCCCTACCAACTAATCCGCTATTTTTGGAAATGCGAAAAGTATGCACGATAGTAGTAAATATAATGAAATTAAAAAGAAAACTATCACAACAAAGAAGACTTAACAAGTTAATTCGTAAAAGTTGAAAAACCTTGAAAAATTAATTTCAATTCCATGTAAAATTACCTAAAACTGTCTGCATTATATAATAACTATGTAATGTTATTGTAAACAGTAAGAAATAAACATTTTTTGAATAAAATGACTTATTTATTACTAATATAGCTTTACTTTTTCCTTTGTTAAGGGCTGAAGAGGACGTGGTGGCAGGCCTGCTGTACACCTTGTTTAATTTATGTTGGGAACTAAATCGGATACCGGGAGACTGGTGCAAAGCCGTGATAGTCCCAATATATAAGGGAAAAGGGTCACAGCAGGACTGTAAAAACTACCGTGGTATCAGCCTTTTTAGCATTGTGGGAAAACTGTATGCTAAGGTACTAATTGAAAGAGTTATGAAAGAAACTGATGAAACAATTTGGGATGTGCAAGCGGGATTTAGAAAGGGAATGGGGTGTACAGATCAAGTCTTTTCCATGCGCATGATCGCGGAGAAGTTTTTGGCGAAAAACAAAAAAGTTTTTTGTGCGTTCATGGACTTGGAAAAGCTTATGACAGAGGGGACAGGGATGTGTTGTGGCAAACGCTGAACGCATTTAGGTTGAGCGCTGGTTTAATACAGGCATTAAAGTCTCTGTATAGCGACTCGAGTGCTTGTGTTAGAATCAACGGGGTCTTCTCGGACTAGTTTGGCGTCCATAAAGGTGTCAGACAGGACTGTGTAGCTTCCCCATGGCTGTTCAACCTATTTATGGACAGTTGTTTGGAAAATTTGAAAGTTGAAGAATGCGGGTTAAAAATGGGTGAGTTAACCATCAAATGCCTTTTGTACGCCGATGATCAAGTCATACTTGCGTCGTCGGCGGCCGAGTTGCAAATGATGGTTACATTAATGAACAGGTCATTAAAAGAAAGGGGAATGAAAGTGAACGCAAGTAAGACGAAAGTGATGGTTTTTGAAAGAGAAGAAAGCAAAACGGTATGTGAAATAAGAATAGAAGGAAAGTTAATTGAGCAAGTGGATGAGTTCGTATATTTGGGATGGGTATTCAGCAGGGATGGGAGATATGATAAGGATATTGAACGACGAGTGAATGCAGGAAATAAAGTAAATGTGGCTCTACACTCTATTGTGTAAAGTCAGAATGTGTCAAAAAAGGCACGTATGGCAATTCACAATGCTGTATTAGTCCCTGCTTTAACATATGGTAGTGAAAGTTGGGTGTGGCAGAAAAAGCATGAGAGTAGAATAAATACAGTAGAAATGCGGTCGCTAAGGAGTATGTTAGGGCTGAATCTGAGTGACAGGGTGAGAAACTGTGTGATAAAAGAAGAGTGTGGTTTGCAATATGATGCAGTGACCAGGAATAAGAAAGGAATGCTTCGGTGGTTTGGTCATGTAGAAAGAATGAAAGCGGAAAGACTGACAAAGCAAATATACGTTGCAGAAGTGAATGGAAGAGTCGGAAAAGGACGTCCTAAGCGGAAGTTTGTCGACCAAATTGGCGATATACTAAAAATGGGCCAAATTAAGAGTACCCTTAACCGACGAGCATGTATGCGTAGGTATATGGATGTGAAAGATGCGAGAGAGGTATGTCAGGATCGTGCTAAATGGAAGTCTGTAGTCTTTGCCTACCCCTCTGGGTGACAGGCGTGAGTGTTTATGTTTTTTTTCCTTTGTGAGGTAGGCAGTGAGGATCGATTACCAAGAGACCGAACTTAACATACTACTTTCGCATATTTTTTAGTTGGTAGTTATTGGAGACCTCAAAAAGGTCACATTATTTATTTATTCAATCCAATTTCTACATTCATTACTGCTCTAATACGGTAGATAAGTCAGAATTTGATTAAAGATTACATAACATAAGTCTGTAAACTAAAACATATAAATAATAGCCTTTGTGAACTCGTTCAGAGAACATCCAAATCAATCGAACTGCTCGCGGGTGTGCGACGGCGCCTGAGTCAGATGAAGCTGTAAGAGCCGTAAGCTGTAAGATAGGCTAACAGCGCTAAAATGACTGAATAAAGATGAACGGCGGTGACTCGCGTGTTAAGATACAAATTACCTTTTTTATATAGAACGGTTTGAGCTACAAAAAGGATCTAATTGGCAAACTATTTATCGTGAAAAAAAATGAACAATGAAAAATGATTTATTGATTTACAATGATACATTTTAAACCAGTTGCAAGGGCCCCTGTACTAGGTTGGGAACCTGTATTACTGGGTACCCCGCTCAGCGACAAGACAATACAATGTTAATCAATAAATAACAAAAGGCAAGGCAAGATCTAGCATTAGGGAGTAAATAAAATTTGGAATAATATACTTCAAATAATTACTTACATGATAAGCACGCACGCGTGTGTGTGTGTGTGTGTGTGTGTGTGTGTGTTTTGTGGTGTGTGAGTAGTGCTTTAACAATTGGTGTGGCTGTTTGAAGTATAAAAGTTATGTAATAAATTGTTCAGTTTCCTCGTAGTTTACTATTAATAAAAATTGTGTTTTTACACATTTAACTTTAGTCCACGTCAAAAGGTAATATTCAATCTGCTACTGAATTTTTTGTAAATATATATATATATATATATATATATATATATATATATATATATATATCTGATATTGATATATATTGAAATACGTATTACTTTTGAAATTCCCATGTGAATATCAAGAGTTTCTGCTGACTTTTTATTGCTATCTTGATAGAGCTACACAGCATCTCATTCAAAATCTTCGCAACAGTGTTACCAAGTCAAATATACCAAAGGAAAAATTAAAACACATTTCATAAAAACGTAAAAATATTTTATTTTCAACTTCTACAAGAATAAACAAACAACAAATTTTACATTCTGGTACAAATATATCAATACTGAATTTTATAGACCTCTTTATTAACGTATGTATATTACAGCTACCATATAAATCATCGCCATTTATCAAACGAGTAAAACCTTTCGTTTTATTTGAATAGATAAAAAATAATATTTCGATAAAATAGGCAATTAAAATCTTTTTATGATCTTTTGAGTAACAAACGTGCTAGCAATCTACTTAACGGTAAACGACCCAAGAAGGCTACCGACGCGTTGTCGATTCTCTCAGAACTTGGTTGGCGCCACAGTTTCTAAGTACTAATAATATCGGTTGTCTTACCCTTCGTATAGTAAAACAGCAGTTGATACTCTACCGATAAGAGCACCAATAAATAAAATACTGGTGCTCACCAAGTGGAACTTTTAGGCAGAATTTGGTTCTACCATCTTGTACCAACAATAATAAACAAGATTATTTTAGAATATATCTTTCACATTTTACGATTATGATCTATATTTACACTCTAAATATATATATATATGCTTCATTGATGTTTGAGTTATTATATAATCAACTAGCTAACAAATACCCGGCGTGTGCTACTAAGTTAAAAAAGAGAAATACATATTGTTTATTTGTTGGAAATAAAAGGAAATTTTGTTTATTAATTAACTTTTTAATATAGTGTCTAATGCATTGTTTTAGTGATCTAAAACCGTCTTCGCATTATTGACTTTCTAATTAAACCGGTTTGAGGCACATCGGTGGCATTGTTTCTATGTCTATAACTGACATACTAGTAGATAGAAACAGTATTTGTGTTTTATACAGATATACATTATCATTATTCTACGTCGTGAAAATGTTAAAAAGGCGCAATTAAATAAAATATAATCTATATCAACATTTATCTGTTAATAGTCAATATAATAACTCTGTAATGGTCTATCGCGGTAACATTCTCAGCCTCAATGGACCGTCGGGTGCATACATGAACGTGACCGCGTACTCCAGGGGCTCGTGGTGGTATTCCAGGCGATAGCGGCGAAGCAACTGTAATACGAAATATATTATTAATACTACAATAAATGTTTTATGTGGCTACTGCGGCTCATATACACCGAAAACCAACTTCGAAATAGTTGGTTTATTGGCTCGCAATAATGGTCATTATTTTTTTATAGCATAGGGTGACAATCGAGAATACAGTCCAGTATATACAGTAGTAAGTGATTGCTGTGGCCCATAAACATATATATCTGTCCTCAAAAACGAATCAAAATGCAGATTCGTTGTCACCCGTGAGGACTAAGATGGAATGCTTCATTTTCAGCAAAATGTGTCTCCGGTTCTCTACACTCACCATACGAAACACAGTAGCGTTAAGCTGCTATTTTACGCTGGTGTTCTGTGAGAGTGTGGTCCTTCCCCGGTCAAGCAGACCCATTCCTGATACAACTATACTACTAATATAACTGCAGCATGGCTCTATCACGTATCATATACATTAGTGTACACCACAAATCACGAAAAATAATATAATATTATCGCTAAAAGTGTGATCTCTTCCAAACAACCTTAAAGTTCATTATACGTATATTTTTTTAAATTACTACTCGACCATGTTTTAATTGATGTTTACTTTATTTTAATACCTTTGCTAACAAAACTTGTATTTCCAAATCAGCGAATCTCCGACCGAGACAGATCCTCGCCCCGAAGCCATACGGCAATGATGCAAAGGAGTGCAGTCTTCCTTCGTTTTCCAGCCATCTTTCCGGCTGAAACTCATCCGGATCAGATACAAACTGTTCCATATTGCCGGTCACTATCGTTGGGAACACCACTTGAACCTAGAATACAACAATACAATATTATGTTGTCAGTCTGTTATGACTACCTCATTGGTAGTTGGTTGGTCCAAGGTTAAACTCCCGGTTCAAAATCACTTATATTGGATTTTCAGTCAAGAAATTCTCAGTAGCTGCCCAGAATCGGGATGTCAGAGGTGTTGCCCCTCGTACCTCGAAAGTATACAAAGCCGTTCTGCATCTAATCTGTCTCCGTACGTGTCTTTCTATTCTTTAATTCATTTTTATTCTTATTTTTTGTAAGTGAAAATAGAAAGACACATGGTGCGGTGTACGTTCTATTCTGTTATAATAATAATAATAATAATGTTTCTTATAATCTTACCCTGCGCAGATGTTTAGAAGAACGAATATCGGTATGGCGGACGGTAGCAGCCTGTTGTAAAATTAGGAATATGAAAAGTTTGCCGTGTGGTGGCGGCCATATCAGAGACGTATGTAACATTATGCATCGTATAGTATACTCATGACCGTTACCGTTACAGCCTATCAAAAATCTACAGCTGAACATGGGCCCCAATAGATTTCCATCTTTCTTTTTTATTTTTTTTAAAGAATATTAACAATGCTATAAACATTACTAATATTCCCCTTAACCATTCGTGGTAAGCTTAAATTGCTTGTGTTACGAGTGGTTCACGCCAGTAGTCGAATGGCGGATTCGAATCCACAACCTTTTTGAGTTCGCGGTCCGCGCCCTGCCACTGTCGCTTCTAAAGACTTCTCTTCTTCTAGAGAGGGCATAGGCCACATTTGCCACGCTAAGCAGACGTTTTGAGAAACTCAATTGTTTTTTACCCGTTACAAAAAAGACGCTACTGCCCATCTCCTGGTTTGTGCCGTTCTGCTGCCTCTAACGATTTTGGATATTCCTACACTGCCTTATGCCCTGTCTTACGCTCAACTGTCATATGTCTATTTAATAAAATATATCCTTACTCCTTTAGGAATGTGGTAACCACAAATAACGTCATCTTCTTGTAATGTTCTACCATTGCCGATAACGGTTGAGTACATTCTGTAAGCAGAAAAGATACGTACAATTGGTTTAACGTTCAAATTCAACAAAAAATAAAAATAAATTAATTTTATAATATATTTTAATAGGCATCAACCGATTTAGGTTCGGGCTTATGATGCCTAGGCCTAGGACATAAAACATTGAGGGGTGGCAAAATTTTATTATACTGCTTGATCGATTGGTTATTCTGTCTTCTATAAGAAAAAATATTTAGTTTTCTCTTTGTGATTTTTATACTTCAAGAGTAGAAATAATTTTTTTTATAGAATAACGGTGATAAACGAGCACACAGTCCACCTGATGGTAAGTGGATGCTAAGGCCCATAGACACCTATCTACATTTATATTAAATTAAAAATCGAAATGGAGGATAGATGGAATGCCTCGTTTCCAGTAAAAAGGGTCTTTATTTTTTGTTAATCGTAATTTTAAACAATATGGATTGGAGGGCCGGCCCTAAACAATAAGCCATTATTATCAGTCCTTAAACAGTCTTAATCTGGAAATTTAAATAGAAAATTGTTTTATACCAAGGCCCTTCGTTTCTCCTTTTGTCTTCAAGATGTCCATCTGTACAGCCACCTCTCACTACTACTTCTGCTATTAAGCAGTAGGCCATCTTCTGTTGTGTTCCGGTTTGCCACTACATAGCTGCGTTTTTAAGTGCACTTGTAATATAACATAAAAATACTACGCTATTGATAGCGTCTAAAAATTCGTTCGAAACATCAACGTCATCTACCAGCATCATATTGTAACTTACCTAAACACTTCTCTGACAAAAGCTTTAGTATAATGTAGTTTATCCAAATCCGAATATGTGAGCGGTTGATTTGGATCCGGCAGCACTCTTCTAATTTCTTCCGCCATTTTCTCTTGCTGTTTTAGTCTCGTTGCCGCTTGATACAGGATTGAACATACCGCCATTGAAATCTGGATAATTACAAAATTTCTGTTTTAGAATTTCCTATCAATGATTATTCATTACTACCCGTCACAAGTCTATTGCTGAAAAGAGGGCTACCCCAAGAAATACCACACCTGCATCTATTGAATGCCAGCATTTCTTACACGGTCGTCACTTCATCTTGTGAGCCTGTAGCTAGGATTAAATTGTTTTCCTATTTTTAATAAAAAACAGGCAAAAACGAGTGTTGCCATCGAACTATATTACTAGCGTAAGTAGTAATTCCTCAATGGGGTTGTTTGTCAGTCCTTTTTGCCAGTGTTGCACGTTACGATGACACTCACACTTATGTCACTATAAAATACGTTTTTGAAAACTAGTGGCATAATATAACTAATGAATATATCAACGTATCGTTACGCTGAGTATCATGTGGTAGAGCCAGGCTGCAGTTATATTATGGTTGTAGCACGAATGGGTCAGCTCGACCGGGGTAAGACCCCGCTCTTACAGAATACCAACGTAAAATATCAATTTAAAATTGCTCGGTTTCGTATGGTGTGAGCAGAGATCCGGAGAGCCTTTTTACTGGTAACGAGGCATTCCATCTTAGTCCTCAGGTTTGACAACGCATCTGCATTTAGATTCTTAATCGAAGATAAGTAGACGTCTATGGGCTACAGCATCCACTTATCATCAGGTGGATTGTGTGCTCGTTTGTCACCCTTATTCTATAAAAAAAATAATTGGTAGCACAAACTAGCCTAGAGTATTGGAAATATTATTTTAAATTAATACGTGAACATCGAAAATTGTCGTACATTTCTTATTATTCATTATAAAATGAGGGGAATAACCCTTATATAATTCAAAATTACTGTGACATAGATGAGCAGAATAAAAATGTTGCCGTTAAAGCAAGTAAAATAAAGTTAACACAGATATGATTTTCCACACAAAACCTTTATACTCATAAAATTGTAGAATTGCGGCCAGACACGATACTAGTTTAAATAAGTACTTCAATAAAAGACCTCTTTATGTGAATCAACAGGATTTGTGTTACGAACCGTATCAATCCCGACAAGAATAAGGTCCAGCGCCATGATGGTCGCAATCTTCGGATCTCCTTCACTCCGCAGCACACGTTCTAGCAACGAGAGATCATTTTCTGATGTCACCTTCTTAGTTTTAAGTCGCTCGAGGGCTTCATTAATATAGCGGCTGCATAAACTACAATGATTAAAGATATAATTAAAGTATGTTCCCACGCAAAGGGATTAAATATATTATAACATTTTGGTTTATGTTCTAAAATTAAAAAATGCTTTTTAATTTTAGAACATAAATTATATAATAATAAAATTATGCAGGATGGTCACATAAAACGCAATATATAGGTGGGCCAAGTTAGTCATTCATGTCAACTGAAAAATAACGTTTTTTATCATCAAAAATTTTGAAATCACAATAGACTAAAGTAACTTAAGCGTCAAGATCACGACATATTGGTACTGCGGCAAACCAGCATTTAATGTTCGCAGGTTTCTGTTCAGTTTCTAAATTGATTATCATTTTTGAACAGACGATGATAGTATTTTATAAAAGGTTAGACATTAAGGGTATTATTTAAAATAAATGGTGAAAACTTAAAATACTTACTCAATAAAGAAATTCATATTATTCACGTATTTGGTCCAGAGGGGTGTAGGAAAGTAGCGCCAATATGGCGCCTTCAGCTCCAATACGGCAACATTCCGTAGCGCAAATTTTGCCGCGTCAATTATACGCTGCGGCTCTGAATCTTTTGTTAATTTGGGCGATAGACATCCCAGCCTAACGTCTAAAGCTACGCGGCCAATACCTGGAAGCAATAAAAAATAAAAAATAATGATTTCTTAAATTTACGCCAACACTACACATTGAATAAAACTAAATTTACGGATTTTATCGCGTTTATTTCACTACTTTTACTTATTTTTAATTCCCGACGTTTCGGGTGCTTTACAGCAACCATAGTCACGGGGGGGACTGAGATGTTTGACGTCCCAATGTCATTGTTAGTCCGGCTACCTTCAGTTTTTGAATATTAATTTTTGGTCCGATTTACGCAAAACGAGCTTATAGTATCATGAAGTCTTGCAGTGGTATGCTTAGGTTTGGGTTTAATTTTGTTAATTATAGGATCCCAAGCAGGTGGCAGCACCCATCCATCTTCTCTATTGAAATTTGGATGTTTTTTTAATTTCAATAGCCTCGCGTATCATCCTTGGTAGGAATCGGTGTTCTTTTGCGAGAATTTGTGGTTTATCAAAACGAATGTAATGGTGGGGACGATCTTGAACATGTTCGCAGACTGCAGACTTCCAGAAGAAAATAAAAAATCCAGAGAAAATAAAAAATATTATAAAATATTCCGAGACTTTGTTCAGCAGTAGACTTTTATAATAGTTGTAATAGGTTGTAATGGATAGATGAATGCATTCCGAGAACTTGTGATTTTCGCCAGACAACAAGCACTGAAGCGGTGCAGCGTAGCGAAAAGAGAACCTGTACTCTGTTGTGGAACGTATGTAGCCCAAATATTTACTACACAACTTTGATACAGCTTTGATGACGTCATTTACAACAGTGTAACAGCGATGCTAACCATACTGACGATTTCCGGGCGAGCTAAGGGAGTGCGGGGGCTAGCGGGCAGGGCCTCGCATTCCAGCGATGCGTCAAGTTAATGTGACCGCAATATACTTTTAACCTTCATTATATTCATTTAAAATAGCAGAGAATTTATTGGCTAATGTGATAAAAATTTTAAATTGCTTATTTTGTACAATAAATACGCCGTAATGCAATATTATAAGGTTTGGCCCTGACTGCGGAAGAAAAGGGTAGATCTTTCTCCAGACAAGGTGTTCATAATACGTATACGAGATTGATTTAGGCGTTTATGCTTGTGGTGCGACGGTAGGGCCGCAACAAAGATAAATTTATAAGATTTAACCTTCCAGCGGTCGCACCCTTGCGCCGAACACAAGCAGTCGCGCGCGGTCTGTCATTCCGCAATTTTAAGTGTCTTGTTTGCGAAAACAAATGAATATTTCGACTTATTGTATAGCACATAATTAAGAAAAGATCTTATACGTGTGAAATAAAATAAAAACAGTTTATTTATTTTTTATATTTTTTTATTTGTACTAATAGAAAAAGGTCTATAAAACTACTACTTATACTATATATTAACTAGAATTTTTGTCTCTGGGTGAAAATCACCGCTATAAATGAACAAATGAACAATTGGCAATTCACAATGCTGTGTTGGTCCCTACTTTAACGTATGGTAGTGAAAGTTGGGTGTGGCAGAAGAAGCACGAGAGTAGAATGAACGCAGTAGAAATGCGGTCGTTAAGGAGTATGTTAGGGCTGAATCTGAATGACAGGGTAAGAAATTGTGTAATAAGAGAAGAGTGTGGTTTGCAAGATCATGTTATGACCAGGATTAAGAAAGGAATGCTTCGGTGGTTTGGTCATGTGGAAAGAATGAATGAGGAAAGAGTGACAAAGAAAATTTATGTTGCAGAAGTGAATGGCAGAGTCGGAAAGGGACGTCCTAGACGAAAATTTATCGACCAAATTGGCGATTTATTGAAAACGGGCCAAATTAGGAGTACCCTTAACCGACGAGTATGTATGCGTAGGTGTATGGATGTGAAGGGGGCGAGAGAGGTGTGTCAGGATCGTGCCAAATGGAAGTCTGTAGTCTCTGCCTACCCCTCTGGGTGACAGGCGTGAGTGTTTATGTATGTATGTATGTATGTAAATGAACAAAACCAAAACAAAATGAATTTTTTTTTACTACTAACAATTTAGGAACTTGACTATAATTATATTAGAAATAAATCACATTCGTCGTCAATGGCAATGTGTAATAGGAACTATAAAATTTCATTTATTTTTAGATCTTTCTATGTAAAATTCTAGTTATAATCTAAATTATAATAAAGTAAAATAAAGAAAACATTCCTAAATGCTACTAATTATTATTTTAGAAAAGCTGCAATAAACTATTCGTCATTATTAACCATAATGTCTACTTGAGATGAACATTCTCGGCATATAACAATCACATGTTCTAGATACATGTGTTTTCCACATTTGAAACAACTATACTTTGTTTTGCGGTTCTTTTTCTTATCGCAATAGTAACAACGACCTACAAAACGTAGAACTTGGTTTGAAAACGATGTTTCTTGGCCATTTCAGAAATATTTCAGCAAGATTTCTTTTATTCTCAGTTTGATAGTTTGAGAAATAGTCGAAGAATATACTTGTATCTCAGTTGATTTTCCATGAATGAATGATAATTTTCTTCAATAAATCTTCGTCTTACAACACTTTTTTCATTGTTGTGTTCAAAGATCACTTGTGCATTGATTGTCATTGTTGCACAGTTGTAATATTGATTAAAGTATGAAACAATACCAACGGCCACGTCGACTCCAGATTTTGTAGTATTGTAGTCTAGTACCGTATCAGGTTTTCCTGTCGATTCGTCGATTTTATCACCTAGATTTACCTATACTAGAAAATCTAAGTCTTCGTAATTCATTGTCTACAACAAAAATAAATGTTATAAAAACACACTTTTATGATATTATAATTAAAAAAAAAACATTAAAAAATAATAAGACACACAAAAAACATAAAATATTTACCCCGGTTTCTCTTTAATTGCACTGGATTGTTCTGGAACACAATCGGTCGCACGCGGAATCTGAGACCGCAAACACAAATAAGAAAGCATCTGTGCAATGTCACGGGACTACTGAGGGGTGCCACCTCACCTTCCCGAGAATATTACGGAACCACAAGCGTCTATTATTTATGGTTTTAGTAAATTGACTAAAATAAGTTCGTTGTGGACTCAGAGACCGCGCGCGACCGCTGGAAGGTTAATGAAAGCTATCGCGGCTTTTTTTAGGCAACGCGGCCATATTATCATTTGTTTCTCCCGTTGTTAATAAAAATCGTCATTATATTGTCTCCTGTCCCTTGAAGATGAGTCTTGTTTGCAGAGCCAATATTTGTACAAAAACTTTTTGTGTCTGCTTGTATTATGATTGTGCTCGTTTTCAAACACTGCATTGAGGGCTGATATTGTTCTAACGGCACAAGCGTTAAATTAAGCGCCACCCACAAAACGTGTGAATTTAGAAAAATTACTATCTCAAAGGTTGCCATAGCACTTTTGAGACGAAGCTATTGCTGTGCAATTGAAACTTTCCAAAAATATTCAGATAAAAAAATATTTTTAAAGAAACTCATAGCAATGGTACGAATTCTTTACTCATGCAATATAAATAGGAAAGTACAAGTACAAATTAGGAATGAAACGTGAGACGTTAAAAGGAATGGAGCCAAAAGGAGCGGATTCAAGTGACAGGTGCCTATAGTACGAACTGAAAAAAGGGGAGAAAGGAAGGAGAGCGACGTTGTGACGAACAGGTTCACGGTGGACGATATTTTATGTTGTTTATCTTGAATTTCGTCTTTGATAAAAAAGATATATAAATGAATTTAGTCAGAACTGACTTTATTTCAAGACCTCGTACCATATAACCTATTTTGCAGGAAAGTTAAGAAATATTACATTTTCATATATATTATTACACAATATATAAGCCATTATATAGAATAAAGAAATAAATAAAAAGAAATAAAATATAGGATCCACAAAATCGTATTCGTGAGATACGAGAAAGTTGTAGGTAATATGTAATTTAGTGTTATCCATGTTTATGTCGCCCATACTGACGCCTGATATATGTATAAAAAGCTCCACTACATAGTGGATAACACGTATTTTGGTCTTTCAGTTACTATCTATATCAATACTACACATTGAATGAAACTAATTAATAGCACTGGAGGAAACACGTGGCTATGGGTCCTGTAAATGTAAAGCACTCGATTCGTTGAGAATTTCTCTGTGACGATGTGTGCTATATAGTACTACAAATGTCAGAAATTATTAAAATAAGTAAATTAAATTCTATAAATCGGTAAAAATTTATGACAAACGGCAGTATGTCAGCTAAGTTTGGAAAACAAAAGAGCGACGCACCGACAATGTTTATATATCACAATAACCATTTCGAGCCACTTTCTAACCTCAAAACTCAAAAACTATTAGACCTACACACTTGTTATTTTGTATACCTAAAAAGAATCTGTTGAGAATCCCGAATTTCATGAATAAACCTGTTCGAAGTTTCTTGAATTGTAACGTCTGAAAAATATCTACCATTAAGTATTATCACACACTGACTCACTCATCAAAAACTTGACCACTTCTAAACTACTCGAAACTTCATCATTCATTTGAAACTCAAGCAAGATTATTAGACGTATACAGTAAAAATCGGAAAACAACAAAATCGATATTTGGTGTCGACAAATATTAACATATTTATTTGTGCGCTTAATAGCATAGTTAGTATCAATTGCTTGTATGAATGTACTCAACGTTCTTGAAACTGATAAAAAGCATGGAACGGGTTCAAATCACAACTCTTTTATCGACATAGGCGACAACCCTAATCGTCATTTGTACTGAAATTGGTCCCATTTTCACATTTTATATATTTTGGTGGTATGTTTATCATACAAAATAAAATTATAATTACTTGTGGTCGCCTAGTGGTCGAAATTCATAAAAATTTTAAGTGTGTATATCAAGCAAGATATATTTAAATTTATAAACACACTACCTATACATTAAAATACTATAAATAAAATAATATATCTATTATACAAATTATAAAACAAACGCTTTTTTGCCTTGACATACTCCCAACACACTATTGAAAATGAAACATTTGAAATCACACAAAATTCACAGCTTATTCAGTCAATTTGTCGGTAATTATTTGTTGGCAGCATTTTAAAATTCTTTGGCCACAATCTCTACTCTTTACGACTGTTTGACCAAAGGCTATTAAGTGCTTGACCTAAGTTACGTGTTTGCCTTGGAGTTATAACATACGTAATAATATGCTTGTACTAACTATGAGACATTCGCAGTATGAACGTCGACAATGTACGTTTTATTTAATTTAATTTAATGTATTTGTAACACATATTATAAATAAATTTTAGCTTTATCCACTGCTTCTTTATATAAACTCTTATTATGTCAAATCTCACTCTCCTCCATGCGCGCAATAAGCCTAAAAATTGGTACAAAGTTTTCCCTTCGCGTTATTAATTACAAATAACCGAAGTCAAAATCTGCCAAAACAAATCGTACATGTAATTATTTATTTAAAATTCTAGAAATAAAGGAAGATTTAAATTATTAAAATAAATTTTAACGTTGTTTCCACAGAAAGCAACAACTTAAGACATAACAAAGAGCGTAATCACGTAAACACGGGATGTTGCGAATTTACTCTGAAGCAATTGCCTTAATCTTTTGTTAAACGTTTGTGTTTAAACAGCGAACCTTAAAACCTGTTCGTAGTTCAAAACAACGATCTTTTCATAATATTAAAATGAAAGTATAAGCTTAAAGTTCACCTGCCCTTTCTGACGAGAGATGTATTTGCGCTCAACGGTGTCGTTCGGCCCATTTACATCTCTCGTCAGTACTCTGTATATCCTTTATTCACAAAATTAAAGATCGAAACATAGCTCAGTACATCGGGGTACGTATTTGACAATCAGTTTCACAGGTAATATTTACATTACGCTGTCCAATAAAAAAGTTTACGCAGATGTTTTTTTTTTAAATCGTCCAACATCAATAACGGATATGAGATTTTATTCTCATTAGAACACACGCAATATAGCATTCATGGATTTAAAGAATTGCTTTGGATTAAAGAGGAATTGATCGGGTTAGAGCCATGCTGCATCTATTATGGTGGCAACACGAATGGGCCGCGGCAGGATCGACCAGGGCAAGACCACGCTCTCACACAATACCAGCGTAAAATAGCAGCTGCTATGATTCGTATGGTGAGTGTTGAGAACCGGACACCCTTTTTATCGAATACGAGGCATTCCATCTTAGTCCTCAGGAGTGACAACGCATCTGAATTTGTATCCACTTACCGTCAGGTACACTGTGTGCTCGTATGTCACACTTATTATATTCTATAAATGAAATCATAAATTTTAAAAACTAAGAATCACGTACGTTGTGAAATTTTCGGTGGTTTCGGTGTCCGTGAGGTGAAAGTGTTCCACGTCGCGACACGGCACCGCACCGCTTACGCTTACACGGCAACGTGGCCGTCCTGATGTGAAAAAGGACCCATCAACTGTACTATACGTCGCTTTGGAACATTATCACCATGGCTTATTGACTAGCTCATCGTGGCTCCGTACTCACCTTACAAATCAAAACACTATTACCAAGATTTTATTTGTTTTTTCTAATACAGTATAGATGTATACGTTAAACAATCTAAAGGCTTCACATTTATTTATTTTACGAGTCATATTCAGTAAAACAATAGGCATTTTGTGAAACAGTTTGCTGAAAATTTTCATATAAAAATTAACGACGATGTTACGACCAGGGTTACTTTAACTTTTACTAACTATATATGTAAAATCGAGTAGGTTAAGACGAATTAATACTTTCGTTAGCCTTAGCATGCACTTCTCGCAGAGTCCATGCGTTGCCGAACTCTGCCACAAGAACATTCTAGTCCCATACTATGGTACACCTTTAGCCAGATATTCTAGAGAAGAAAAGTACCTAAAACTTACACTCAAGAGACCACCGATGGATGTCATTGTCAAATTCATGCGGCAGATCGCCGTTCTCATCGCGAGCGTCTTTCATATATTTTATGAAGTCTTCAGTGACCAGTTCGATCGGTGCAACGTACTTTTTGACTGTTTGCGGCTGGAGGATCGGTCTTTGTACCTTCGAGCGGAATCTTCGCCATTGCTCACCGTGTCTGTAACATACAATTTAAAGAAAATTATTAATTTTTATACACACATTATGAAAATATAATAAAGTAATATTATGGTTTCAGCACGAATGGGTCGGCTCGACCGGAGAAGGACCACGCTCTCACAGAATACCAGCGTATTATATCAGCTTAATACTGCGGTGTTTCGTATGGTGGCAGTAGAGAAGTGGAAACCATTTCTATTGAATAGAGGGCATTCCATTCCAGGAGTAACAATCTGCATTTTGATTCTTAATCGAGGGTATAAGTAGATGCCTATGGGCCAAAGCATACACTTACCATCGGGTAGACTGTGTGCTCGTTTGTCAACCTTATTTTATAAATAAAAAATAAGAATGCGATTGAGTTTATTTACAAACGTCATTTAGGCATTGCCAGCAAAAAAATTACGTGACGTAAAATGTTAAATCTGTATCTGTCGTGGGTGGTTCTTCATTGCTGGCCGTATGAGGACGCTCAAGATCGCTCAGAGAGCTATAAAGAGGTCTATGCTCAGCTGATAATGATGAAGATTAAAAGTGAGTTACAGCTTATCTTAACGATGGGTATCGGCCTCCTCTCATTTCTGATAAGGTTTAAATCAGTAAGACCATCGCGTTGCTACAGTGCATGTTGGACACAGTTATTTTTTCTAAGGAAATAAAATCAAGCTACTACCGATAAACAACAAATACGCTATATAAACACGTACGTGACATTCAAGAAATCGTTTCCAGAATAAGAAATGTGCATACAAGACCCGTGATTGGCTGTCTATATAGCGTGAGACTATGCGAAGAATCAGAACAGATACACAATCACGACACGAAAGTTGTGTTAAATAGTATATAAATTACTCTCTGTTTAAAATGATAGAAGAAATAATTTAAGAACTCAAATTAACTTTAATTTACTTTAAAACTAAAAAAATGTATTACAACAAAAACAATAAATTATTTTAAAGTTATAAAACTAGTAAAATTAACGTAAATAATTCCTAATTTTTAAAAAGTACTAAATACTTAACCAATTAATATCAAAATGCTAATTAAAATTCAATTAAATAATAAGTCTTTGCTATGATTGACGACATATTAATTATTTTAGAATAGTACCTATTAAATTGTCTACATTATGTCATAAAAGACACAATGTGTAAGGCTTTAACGCAATTAATAGCTTTTACGACTTTGAACACTATAAAACTCCTTCAGATATCTAAACATAATCATATTAAAAACTAATTAATTAATGAGCAAGTAAAATAAATGTTATACTTATAATGTATTTGACAAGAGGATTCATTAAAAAATAAATTAAAAAATCTCTTGATTTTTCTCTTTTAAATGAAAGCACATGAAACCCAAAAAAATTAAATAAAAATTTGTAATTTTATTCTTGATTCATACAATATATTATGCGATTCGATAGTGCAATGGCTAAAAGCATTCGACGGCAACGTTGCGGGCCGCGGCGCGGGTTCGATTCCCACACAAAAGAAGTATAAGTATAATTATACAAATGAAATCATAAAACAAGGCAAATTCCTAATTATTATTAATCACATCATACCAAAAGATAAGCTATATTCAAAACAATGTACCGTATTCTTAAGTTGGCTAACATCCAAAACACAGCCTTAACTTCTCTCAATTATGGTATTGTTACGAGCTTGAGGTTCGTGACAATAAAAATTGCCGATAGGATTACCTAAATTAACACTTTAATTTTCTTTACACAAATTAAAACTTACAACACCAATAATTAAGCACACTAATTCACTTTATTCCGCTCCGAAGCTTCGCTTGTCTCGCCGAATTCAATACTTCCCCGATCGCACTTTGCAGCGCCTATAAATACACATTAATACCGAATCATCTAGAACATTCAAGTAAATACGCGCACCAATCGACAAAGTGCCGAAAGTTCGAGAGTCAGCTTCCAGAAGCTTAGTTCTTCATTTCAACAACAGATGGCGCTGTCGGTTGAAAGATTAGTGATGTCATTTTCTGGAAAGCTCTCCCCTCGCTCCGTTACCCGACACTAGATGGTGCTAGTGCCAGATGTCAACTTAGCCGCGCAACACTGCCCCCTCCTTAGACATGCTCGTCCCGAGCATTATCGGCCCCATAATAACGCGCCAGGTGATCCACATGGACGATCTTAGGAGTCCCTCTTGCGCCCTTCTGTAACGGCTCCGCAATGTCAAGGGCTGTCCTATCCCATGGTGCACCAACATTGTACAATTTCGATGCTCCTCTACTACGTGTCTGAGGTCCCCTCACAGCCGCACAACTTGTACATGTACGACACCAATCCTCGACATGTACGATAGTGGACCCAGTAAAACTGTTCTCGGACCTTCAGTAGAGTTCGTTTAACTCCCAGATGGGTCGTCCACTATTGAACGACCATTATGGCACAGCTGTAGAACATTCGGCACTTTAGCTTTAGGGACAACCATTTGCAAACGACAGCTGTCTCCTCGACCATTGTCCCATTTACGGCACAGGACTCCATCCTGAATCAGCAAGCTGTCCCATTGGGCCCAATAGCTTTTCGTGGTTGAACTCATCGCTGAGACGTCGCTCCACTTAGGCTTGGTAACACGGGCCTTCATGCATTCCAGAATCGGCTTGATGTCTGGATCTTCCTGCTTTGCATGTCGTAGGCTGTCCTTCCACTTGTTGCTGAGGTGGTCTGTCCTGAGCATCCTCACGGATACCACTTCCTTACTCTCTTGCCTAGTACAATGTTTCCAATTGTCAAGACAAGGTCTTCTTGACAATGCATCTGCGTTGCCATGAGATTTCCCGCTGCGATGTCTATAATAAAGTCGTATCCCGGCTGCTGCTTGGCGGTGATGTTAGCCGCACTTCCCTTCTGAGATCGTTCATCTTCCCTTTCTAGGGTTCACTTAGGGCGGCTGGATTGAAGATGGCCCCTTTCCCCACAACCATAGCACCTAGGGCTGTATGCTTTATTGTGGTCGCGAACCGTTACTGCTGCAACCTCCCTAGTGCTAGGGGAACGACGATCCTGCCACCGCCAGGCGGTGCCGTTAGCTGCACTACCCTCTCGAGATCGATCAACTTCCCTTTCTACAGTTCGCTTAGGGCAGCTGGATCGAAGTGGCCCCTTTCCCCGGATGGGGGTACGATCGAGGTGGTGTGACCCTCTCGAGATCGATCATCTCTCCTTTCACGGTTCGCTTAGGGCAGCTGGATCGAAGATGGCTCCTTTCCCCACAGCCATAGCACCTAGGGCTGTATTCTTTGTTGCGGTCGCGAACTGTAGCTGCTGCAACCTCCCTGACGCGATGGGAACGATGATCCTGCCGCACGGCTTCTACTTCCAGTGCATGGGCCAAGGCGTCCTTAAGTGTCTCGTAGTGCCCGAGCCTCACAGCAGCTCTGACTTCCAGGTCGCGGATGTCGTCGATGAATGTCTGCACCAGGTTCCCTTCAATGAGCGTAGGTACAGACCGGTATGCTTTTCGCACCAGCTTCTCCCCCTCTAGAGCCCACTGCTGCAGGTTTTCGTTGATACGCTGCACGCGATCTTTAAGCTGCGCACGAAAGACGTGTTCCAGGTGAGCGTCGCCATATCTCGCCTCCAATGCCTCAAGGAGTTGCTCATAAGTCACTTCCTACCGAGAGCGAACTGTTAAGGCCTGGTCGCGCAGGCCTAGTGTGAGAGCAGTCATGGCCTGACTTTTATTTCAGCCGTTCGTCTTCATAACAACCTCGAACTGGATTTTGTAGGCTGACCAGGAAGAAGTCCCGTCGAACGGTGGCACCTTGAACCCACGTAGCGAAGGTGTAGTAGCTACTACGGGAGCTGTAGTTCCATCCCCAAGTTTGAGTTCGTCCAGTGATTTCTTCATGTCAGCCATTACGTTGTCAACCCGATTGTTCACTTGGTCGATTCGGGTTTCGGCTTTCTCGATTCGGGTTTCAGCTTTCGCGATTTGGGTTTCAGCTTCTGACAGGCGGTTGTCATGCTGAGCAACCCTATCCTTCACCTCCTTGATCTCCTTCCCGAAGGTAGCGTGAAGGTCCTTCATGAGGAGCATCTGCTCTTCCAACCGACGGGCCTGTTCCTCTTGTCCGTCCCGCAGCTGCTCTTCCAAACGACGGACCTGTTCCTCTTGTCCGCCCCGCAGCTGCTCTTCCAACCGACGGGCCTGTTCCTACTGTCGGCGAGCCTGCTCCTCCTGCTGCTCTTTCAACCAACAGGCCTGCTCCTCCTGTCGGCGAGCCTGCTCCTGCAGCATCACCATCAGAGCACCTAAATCAGGTGATGCAGATGTAGGAGCTACTGATGGGCCTGCAGCCGGCGGCTGGCTCTTCGACGTCTGCGGCGTTGCACCACCAAATCTTCTTTGGTCCGTCTCCTGCTGGCGTTGACTTCAGGTACGGACACCCTCCGTTTCCTCCTTAGGTAAAATCGGCATGATTTTATCCCACTTCTGACCAATTGTTACGAGCTGAGGTTCGTGACAATAAAAATTGCCGATAGGATTACCTAAATTAACACTTTAATTTTCTTTACACAAATTAAAACTTAAAACACCAATAATTAAGGTTGCCCTCGTCGATGGCACGAACTAAATGGTGGGCGGGGCAAAAATGCATGCTATCTCAGCCGACATCTCGTGCGAAAGGGATAGACGCTGTGATGAGCATTAAGAAGCTAGTGCGCACACACGTCGCACTCGTGTGACGCAATGCGCGACGGCATCATCGCGTACCTAGGTACCTATGCGATTCATTTTAGAATAATAACATAAACTCAAACGGCAATTGTGAGCTTGGGTGCCGCGGGTTCGAATCCCCCACGGAACAACTATTTTGTATGGACTACAAATAGTTGTTCCGGGTCTGGATGTTTGTTCTTGTGCAATTTATATTTGTAAACTGCCTCCACGATACTGGAGAAAATCCTACTGTGGGGATAATGTATTTTAAAAAGAGAAAGGAGAGAGAAAGCAAATTGGTGTT